TCTGTTAGAGTCGCTTCAGTTGCTAATATTGTTTACAAGGAAATTGATTTGTTTGGATCAAAACCTTTTTAATCGTGTTTAATAACGGTATTTTCTTCACATTAATGTACTCATTTCTTCCTTTCGCACTACAGCCCCAGTGGGCGTAGATCTACCTGCATGAACTTCTCCGTTCACTTCGGTTTTTCTAGATCTTACACATTCGGTAGGACACCTTGGGCGGGTGATCAGCTCGTCACAAGGCCTCTACCTGTACACAAACACAGAAAAACGCACACACACAAACTAAACATCCATTCCGTGAGTGGGATTCGAACCCACGATCCCGGTTTCCAAGCGAGCGAAGACAGTACATCCCTTATACATCTCGGCTACCGTGACCGGAACTGTACTCATTTTATGTGATATAAATGTACGTACAATCATATTTTCTCCCAACATTATGGCTGGCGTGTTTGAGCTTATTGAATATTTATTGTTGTCAAAGTAGCTGTGGTTTGAGCTAGTTGGTTTTATTTTCTTTCTCTAAGAGTTTGCCTAATTCCATCTTTCCTGGAGCTTCTTTTGTAATTAGGATTTAGGCTGTTGTGTGCGCACGTCAATAGATAAATATTTTGATGGAATTAATATTATTTTATAATGATATATTTAAAACTCGAATAGTTTCTTGATTGAATATTTTATATTAGCATGGCTTTTCCAGGCATTAAAATAGAAATTGTGTTCAGTTTCTGGAGACCACCTTCCCGCCTTCGCCTGAACCTACTCTACACTAGTGATGATCTCAAGCCACTGCTTCCAACAGCCCTAACGTCTTCAAATTCCTACTATTCTTATGAGAGTTACGAACGGAAGAAGCCAGGGAAATTTCTAACAAAACCCTGCCCTTTCTCGCCAACACAGATAAAGCGATTTACACTTCCTTCATGACTTCAATTACACCTGCTCTATAGCTACACTCTGCACCTATCTCTATCTACATTACTGTCACCTTCCACACCGCCTGAAACCACAGCATTGATGGTTAAGCAGCTGCATGAGTGGTTAGCACTTCAATGAGTGTCTGCATAGGAGCAGCAGATGCTGCTGATATTTCGATGTACTTCTGGCAGTTCAATATAGGTCTGAAATTAGTAATGACCACCTCTACATGTTACTTAACGATTTTCGTAAAAATTTTATTAATAATTTCTGTTACAAATATATACGATACACCCGCCCCCACACGCTTAACTTCCTCGCGGTGTATGTCTCGGCTAAATTCAGCGGAATGAGTCTTATATACCAGGGGTACACGGGTGTTGGCTCGCTTACGTAGTTTTTTGGGGGGGGATGCGGGCTCGATCGGTTAACCCCCTAGAACAGGTTCCACATGAACACCCTCACTCCCTGGCTTCTACTCACTCACTAACTCATTAACCCCGCTGCTGCTTCCGGATACCACGTTCTTAGCCATCTCGAACTTTCCACTGGGAGGGCTTCATAACCAAATGCTCGGACCCCTTCCGGTCTGCACACCTTCTCGAAGCTTCGATCCACAGGTCCTCCACCCCCACAGCCACGGACGAAAGAAGGTATACCTACTCCCCCCCTGAATGTAATGGACTCACCTGCCTCCCTTCTGTCCCTCGCAACAAAAGGCTAGTTCAGAGGACTATGATCACTTCGGGGCATCTCACTTCCACAGCCAAACCCAATCGCTAAGCACAAACAGATAAGATACCTCCGTGAAGGGTGCGTACGGTAACAACGAAAATTGCCTTTATAAACGTATATAACGAGAGCGTTGTTACGGATCAGTGCTGCTGAAAATCGGGATTTCCTTACAATTTATATTGAAAGACGGTAATGTAGAATTTGAAAAAAAAAATATGCACAACGGTTTGAGCGGTTGTACAACGCCACAATGGACGGATATGCACGGCATCTGCCTAAGAAATTTTCACTTTTATTTGGTTAATTCGCCATATCTTTCAAAATACAAATTTATTGGGCTATAGTCCAGATCGGTTCGAATTTTTTTTATGATTTGCTATCTAGTTAGATTATTAAATGATTAAATAGCCAGCTAGTGCAAGTTGTTAATTTGGATTGGTACCTCATAGATTCCTTGATGCACGCCTTCAGGTACTTGAGCTCAGTCAGGATTTCCGAAGTAACTGGCTGATCCTTGTCAGGAAGGTACCGCAGTATTTCTTCGAACAGTTTCTGCTGCTTGTCAGGATTATTCGCCAAGTGGTAGAGTCCAATGGCGGTGGAGTAAGAAGACTGCAGCATAATATATGAAACTGCATGTACTAGTAATGTAACGGCGCAAAGGTCAGGTACTTGTAGATATAGATTTTTTGGGTAAATTTGGAATAATAGTTGTTAGACTGTAAGATTAAGAAACAGCCATGATGAAACGAACCAGGAAGCTTGGGTTTACAAAGAAGTGTAACAGGCAATTCCTGAGTCATTACAATGTTAGCACGGCAGCGTAATAACGCTGACATTGAGGAAGAAACTATATGAAGTAGGTCATAAACACTATGGCAGGAGGAAAACGCTGAGTCGGAGGAGGCGGTAGACCCGAAAGAGTCAACCCCTTCTCGATAGGCAACCAATGAGGGGGCCACACCGACCCAAAATCACGTCAGAATGGGCAGGCCAATATACCCGAAACACGAAGAATCAGCAAAGAGAGGTTATATAAACCCTAGAAGACTTAAGCACAAAACCTTTTGCCTTTTGACTTTTGAATATTATTAAGTAACTTAAAGTTCAGCGGGAGGCTATCGCCGAGAGAGCGATGGCCGTGAGTGGGCGCTGGTTGATGATGGCGAGCATCTGTTTCCTCCGCTCAAGTAAGTGAAACCAACTTCGTATAGCCATGAACATTAAGAGTGATAGTGACAATTGTAAAGTGTAAACCCCAAAGAAAGATAGTGCTAACTAGATGGATTAGGTTCATTCAGAGATACAGAGGCGTAGAATACCCGACAGTAGGGTGACAGGAGGTAGAACTAATGAGGTGCTACAGGATTATTATCAAGTGTAATACATCCGACGAACGTCGGCAAAGTGTGTATATAGTATGTATATAGCAACATAGGGAAATAGAATAGGGTAGGAATGTGTGTGATTTTAATTCAAGCTAGCATTTCCTTAAGTGCTACCCTCTTCCCTGACGACTCCAGGACCTCACAAAGCTTCGGCGAATTGCGAGTTAAGCCAGGACAGTGACGTAAGCAATGATACTAGTTTTCTTGATATAACAAGATGGTGGCAGCATACTAAACCGGGTGACAGAGCGGGATACTTCCACGCCCCCTGTCACCACGGCATAATAGTGGTGTAGCTGCGGCATAACAGTGGAGACAGCAGTGAGATAAACAATCCACCCCTGTCGTAAGGGCGTAAGGGCATAACAGTGGTGGAAGCGGTGGGGATACTTCCCTGCCCCCCCTCCACGGCATAACAAGTAATATAAAGGTAACGGTAATTTGTCCTTGCGCTTAATTAAAAACCAAATTAATATATATATATATATGATTAGAAATCGAATAGCTCCATCAATCTTGACTCGGTTATAGAAGGTGGTAAGTGGTTAGCTTACCGGTCACGGTAGCCGAGCGGTCTAAGATATGCACTGTCTTCGCTGGCTCGGAAGCTGAGATCGTGGGTTCGAATCCCACTCAGGTCATGGATGTTTGTGTGCGTTTTTCTGTGTTTGTCTACAGGTAGAGTCCTTGCGATGAGCTGATCACCCGCCCAAGGTGTCCTACCGTATGTGTAAGATATCGAAAAACCGAAGTGAACGGAGAAGTTCATGGAGGTAGGCCTAGGCTCACTGGGGCTGTAGTGCAAAGGAAAAAATTGGTTAGCTTCACGCCCCTGCCACTATACCGCTGGGGAAAATAATTCCTGTACTCACTGGATAAAGAAATAATTTAAACTATTTACTATACGCAACCACTCATACAATCTGATAGTAATGATCTGTGCACTTCATGGGCTTGTTAGAGTCACGACATCAAATATCTTACAATTTGCTGTTGAGAGAAACACTGAGATGGATTTATCATTTGACCGAACAAATTGGCTAGAGCGGTAACTTTTCTGAGATGGAATAGACAGGTGCCCGATTTTACTACGGGGCAGAACATTGACCATTTTGTCTCTTATCCCTTGTGGACGGTTCCTTCAGTCCCTCCTGGTAAATTTCATGACAGTGCCATACATTAGCCATTAACGTTCGTTTCAGCATCCTTTCAAGTCCATTGTTTTTAATCATCTTGCCACTGATTTATACTATAAACTGATCTACTGACCACGTCATTAAAGAGAGTATGAATAGATGAATAGCATCATACAAACGCCTTAAGTGGACTGAAGACGAGTGAAAAGCACAGGAATGTGTGAAATAGGCGATGAATCATTGGTCTAGGTTACGTGTGGAAAGGTAGTGAAAATTCACTGTGAGGACAGGGGTACATGGATCGTGTCCAGTGCAGAGTTTTAGTACAAACAGTAGTGAATATGTGGGTTGTGCTGCGAAGGAAGGTGATTACTTTAGTGTGTTCTCAGAATTCTGTATCTTTATTTATTTAATTATTTATGTCACTGACAACTGATACTATACGTGTGATGAGACTTGAGCATAATTACGGACACAAAATGGAGAAAGTAAAAGGAAAGAGAAAGATCTATAAAGAGGAGATGTGTGGCTTTTACTGCTAATAATAATAATAATAAACTGAAAGACACGGAGAAAGAAGATATTTGCAGTAAACATCGGAGAAATAAGAAATTAAAAAATAATTCGAATCGGAAAATTTGAACGAAAAATTTCACTGGATAGTCTGAGACATAGATAGTTTGAAAACAATCATTAAAATTGGTCTCAAATAAATAGAGTGGGCGAAAGTGCAATGGATTATTCTGATCCATGAAAGAGTTAGGCGGTTAGATCTTCAGCAGGGTGTAAGCGATATATAGATTCAAAGGTAGTCCGAGAATTTCTTTACCAACTAACGCAATCATTAACCACTCCGAGGGACTCTTCATGGAGTTCGTTACCGTTTCAATACCGGCCTCCATCATGTCCAGTACCATGGTCATCGCGGTCTTGGGATCGGGGTCTGTGATCAACAACTTCTCCAAGACAGTCAGTTCCCTGTCAGGGACCTCTGGCATGGCCTTGAGCCGCTCCATAGCCTGGTTGATGTACTTCAGGCTGAATCTGTTGACAGAACCAGAAATGGATGTTTATATACCGTACATAAATCTCATAATTTACGAGTAGTTGTTAGGAATTGTGATATTTCAATATCATACAAGATGTCTCTAAGCGCTAGCTGCTAGCTGCAAGTACGCTTCAAGTCTTAAGATTGAACATTGTAGACACCTAAACGTCTGAAATTGTGTATCAATTTGCATTGTGTCCCATCGAAGAATATGATATTATCCAATTAGAGGGTCTGTTTTCTTTGATGTTGTTCTTGAGATAGCAGCGTTAGCGACTTAATTTTAGTTTAAAGCAGATTGTCTTCCACAACTATTTCTAAAACGTGCCTTCTGTTATCTTAAAATTTCCTAAACCCGAATTCAAAGCATTATGATATTCTTGATTTATTTTATTTGTGTATATCGAATATTATGAATGTTATGAGAAAATAATTTGAAATGATGTGGCCTGACCTGACTTATGGTTCTCTCCATTTTCTTGAAGTTGGGTAAGAAACTACAATTGTTATGACAGGTTTAAGAGCTGAGAAATGGAGAAGCATATTATTACTCAATATAGAGAGAAGAAGTCTGAAATATATTTCGTTAATCGCAAAATTGAAACAATTCCTTCAGTATCTACAGAATTTAAGTATTAATCCTGACGAGTATGATTCAGCAATGGCTTAGAGCGGCCGCATACCAACTGCGTCAAGGCAGGCATTAAAACAAGGGATAAAAGACGCAGTCTTCCTTCATTCTTGATTAGTCAGCATGAAGCTGACGTCAGCATAATGTCTCAGACCGGTGTGGGGCGGTTTTCATAATTTCAGTCTTTCAACTGTGCTCTTTTATTTGCGCCATGTCTCAGACATCGTGTCTTGACTGTTACATTTCTTGACGCATCACGGTGTGCGGCCTACCCTAGAGAGAGTTGCGGTTTGATAGAAAGAAATATATTTCTTCTACAGTCTGGTTTCTTTGTCTGCAATGAATGACGTCTTGGCAATTATTTTTTCTAATGTTTATATGAATCAGACAAATTTGGTCTTCTCTTTTTTAAATTCGCATAGTGTGGGGGGGGGGGGTTGGAGCCCAGTTGGGTCCACTCTTCACGGCGGCCACTGATTGTCCTATTGTACTTGCCCCAGGTGATAATGATGATGGAGAACTTTGTGGAATGAAGAATGGCAAAGGGAAGCTGAAGTACTCGGAGAAAACCGGCCCCAGGGCCACTTTGTCCACCACAAATCACACTTGACCAGACCCGGGATCGAATCCAGGCCGTCGCGGAGACAAGTCAGCGACTAACCGCTTTAGTTATGGCGCGTCCAAATTTGGTCATATTATTAGTATACATTCTTAATTTGTTCTAAATTGTAATGTGGTTCTCTACCTGAGAAGGTTTCAGAAGGTTAATTTTTATTAAACCGATGTGAGAATTATAATACATTGTATAAAATATCTAAGATCGTAAAAGGGCATGTAACCAGAATATGGCCGATTACATAGTCAGTCTAGTATTATTTTATATGAAACTGTTAGCAGAGAAATTAGAGGACCAAGCATTACGTAATAAAAATATTTCCGAAAAAATTATACTCTTACAAGACTTTAAGTTTTCATGGCAGCTAAAAGTGAAAAACTCTTTTCGGGTTGGGTCCCTCCTCAATTCGTGTCATAAGTCTTATACTTGGAGAACTTTTCTGTCTCCATCAATGTTATCCTCTACAATTCCTCCCAATAAATTATCTAATAAATGTTGAGGATTGTATATTTTCGCAATGAATTCTATTCAAATTTATTATATAAATTTATAGTTTCTTATTTGTTACGTACTCAGTAAATATATCTGAGACTTTCACAAATTTCCGCCACGTTGGTGTGCTCACGTATTTCCACATCGGGAACTTAGTCTCCAATTTGTGCACACATTCCAACTGTTCTTCTACATAGTTTATCATCTTTTGAGGCTCTGAGTCCGGTGCAAGATCTGCATTCAGACAGCCTAGGCGCGTGTCCAGAGCAATATACACAATGGCTGTCAGAACATACAGAAATACGTGTATAAAGTGCAGTTAAAAATAAACATACGGTTCATATAACAA